TCAAATCAGATCTGACTGGTACAGGAGGAGATTGTCCCTCCTTTTCCCGGCAGAGCATCTGGTGGATTTGAACCGTGAGCCTCTGGGATTGTAGTTGCAGCTTCTTGCCACTAGGCCACCAGAGCTCCCCTGGTGCTGAGCCTTATAGTAGTAGTATTTTCATGTAATCTGTTCTTTTTAGGCTAATCAACATGGTAGTGTGTCCTACGAATGAATCCTTTAAGCACAGAATGGGGGTAGATTTGAGTGGTTCTGTTTTTACACATGATGCGCATATATTCTGATTTGTCTCTGAAATAGTTGAGATTTAAGCATATCTATACTATTTGCATTCTTTGTAAAATGTACTGGTAAAACAGAAATCACTAAGAATTATCCCATCAGGCATTTTCTTGGTTCTTCTGTTCTTTTTAGATTCATGAGATGATCAGACAAGAAATTCTGGAGCAAGTCTTCAACAGGGTTATTACCAAGACATCCTCTCCCATCAGTCATTTCTTAGGTACGAACTTGGCAATGTGGATAAAGTGCTCAAGAATATTATCATTTCAGTGGCATGATAACTGAGTCTGGAGAAAGTGTTACTTTAAACTTAATGCAGGTTATTTGATTATAACACCAACATAATTTAAGTCCACTCAGGTGATCTCTGAAGATAGCGACTATTGGGAAGGAAAGGAGTGTATGAGCAGTAAGTGGAACTCCCATATTTCAACTGGTCTCCCTCTTTTACTCCTCCTCTGATGTACTGTCTGATACTACTCATTGACTTCCCATTCTTGAAACCCCAGACTTCAGGCTTTCTCGTCGATAACTTCTGAATTTGTTGTTTTAGCACATCTCATTCACTGCCGTTGGGTTGCTTCTGACTCATAATCACCCTCTCTCTGCAAGATGTCTCGAACTGTGAACCTTTACAGGATATTACCCAGCCTTCTCCCTCGGAGCGGCTGGTGAGCTCAAACTGCTGGCTTTTTGGCTGGTGGCCTGATGTACTATCCCACCAGAGCTCTTCGTCTTAGACATTGCTTCCTAATAAATGTCTAAATCAACAGGCTTTTCTTTGCTTCAATTTTCTTAATTTCTCAACCTAATTCAACCCTGCTCACCATTCCTCTAAAACTTATTTAGGCTCTCTAGTTAATTTTGCCATTTTATCCAACCTGTGATCAGGTTTTTCTTTCTTCTTTAGTGCTTCCTTTTTTTCTCTTTTTACTCTTAAATGTCTGAATTCTGCAGAGGCCTATTTTTGACAGTCTAATCTACTTTTTTCTTGTTTTACAGCTTTATTGAGGTATAATTATTAAACTACGGTCATCTAGGTAAAGTTAAATTATAATAACTCAATGAGAAATCTATATATACACATCTTTGAAGCTGCCATCAGACTGAAGATAATAAACATACCCATCAACCTCAGTTCCTGGTTCCTCTCTGTAATTCATCCCTCTCCTTTCTATTCCCAACTAGTCTGCATTCTGTCACTTTCAATTACATTAAGTCTACTTCTTTCTTTGTCTGGTTTTTTTTTTCATACTAATTATTTTGAGTTCTATCTATAGCTGTTATTAAGAGTTTGTTCCACCATTATGGATATAACCACAGTTTGTTTTACAGTTCACTTGTGAATAGATTTTGTTTCCAGGTTTTACTTGTCACCAGTAGAGCTGCTGTGAACATTCTTGTTTAAGTCTTGTGTAGACATAATCCTTTGATTTCCCTTAGGGAAAATACCTAATAGTGAAATGAACAGTTCGTGTGATAATTTTATCTTTAACATCTTAAAGAATTTCTAAACTTTTAAAAAAGTAGTTATACTATTTTATATGCCCACTAACAATGTCTCTAATTACTCCCCATTGTCACCATACCTGGTATAATCAGTCTTTTCCATTTTAGACCTTCTAATAGATGTGTGGGCACCCTAGTTGGTTACTAGGTTAAGTTTTGGGCTGCTGAGGCAGTCTGCTCCTCTGAAGATCCAGAACCTAGAAATCCTATGTGGGCATTTAAGAGTTGAAGTCAACTTAGTGGCATTGGGTAGTAGGTGTGTGGTAGTCTCATGTGCTTTTAGTTTACATTTCCCTGTCAGTGTATCACATGCCAGCAGGATCATTTATGGTGGACAGGCTTCAGCAGAGCTCCCAGATTGAGACAGTAGGAGGCAGGTTTGACCATCCACTTCTGAAGGAGCAGGCCTTTGAAAATTCTGTGATCAAGAGGAACTCAGGTAGCTGTAGTATTAAAGGTAGAACTCAGATAGATGGGAAGGCACTAAAAAATGGGGGGTGGGGGGTGGGAACAGCTTCAAACATCTAATTGGAAAGTGGAATGTATAAAGTATGAGTTATAGGAAAACTGGAAGGGGTAAAAAATGAAATGGAAGATCAACATTGTAGGCATTGGTGAAATGCAGTGGTCTGGAATTGGCCACTCGGAATCAGACATATGATATACTATGCCAGGAATGAAAAGTTGAAGGAGAATGACTTTGCATTTATGGTTAAAAAGACAATTGCAAGATCTGTCATGAAGTATAGTGCTGTGAATGATAGGTTAGTATTCATACACATACAAGGATACACCTCAGCCAAAGCAAACAATGAAGAAATTGAGGAATTCTGCCAACTTTTACAGTCTGGAATTGACCAAATACACAGTCAAGATGCAGTAATAATAGTAGATGGCTGGAATGCATTATGCATTCAACACAACTTTGCTTGCTGAAAGTCAGGAGGATATGAAACACTTGCTACAGAATATCAAAGCCTGCAGCCCTAGGTATGGGTTACATTTCAACATCAACAAAACAGTACCAGCAGTCCTCACCACAGGACCAACAGTCAGCATTATGATAGGTGGAGAAGGAATTTAATCTGTCAGTGATTTAATCTTGCTTGGATCAACTATCAACACCCTTGGTACCAGCAGTCAGGAAATTAGGGGACATACTGCATTGGGCAAGTCAGCTGTCAGGGACCTCTCCATAACACTGAAGAACAGTGGTGTTGGTTTAAAGATGAAGACTAAGACCCACCTGCTTCAGACCATGGGCTTAGTCACCTCATATGTATGCATCAGGTAGCTGGACAGTGAATAACAGAAGAATTAGTGCCTTTGAGTTGTGATTTTGGAAAAGAGTACTGAATACCATGGATGGCCAAAAGAACAAACAGTTACGTCTTGGAAAAGGTACAGCTAGAGTGTTCCTTAGAGGCAAAAATGGCAAAGCTCCATCTCTACTTTGGACATGTAGCTAGGCCAGGCTATTCATTGGAAAGGGACATCATGCTTGGAAAGATGAAGGATCCACAAAGGAAAGAAAGACCTTGCCCTCCAACGAGATGGATTGATTCAGTGACTTGAGCAATGGGCTCTAGTTGTCAGAGATGATGAGGACAGCACAGTAGAGGTCAGGGTTCAGATCAGTTCATTGGGTTGCTGTGAGTTGTACTTGATAACACCTAATACAATAACTCTGGCATTAAGACCCTTAATAGTTTGATCCTAACTTACCTTCTCAACATTAATTTCAACTATTTCTTTTCAGAATCTTCTGCTCCAACCCAAAAATTTCCCCACCAACCTGTAACCTTAACTTTTAGGTGAATTTTTATTCGACTTTTCCTCGACATAAAAAGGCCTTTCTGGGTGCCTGCACCTGCCCGACTACAGCCAGCTTGCCCGGCGCCCCCGCAGCGTGCCACCTCAGCTTCTGGGCGATCCATGCATGGGAAACAGTGAGGGTCGGGATGATAGATTACGGAGAGGAGCAGCGTAACGAGCTGGATGCTTTGGAGTCCATCTACCCTGACTTCTTCACAGGACTCTCAGAAATGCCACCTATTTACCATTATTGTGACATCTGAGGCTGGAGAAAATGATGAAAAGACTACACTCAAGTTTACATGTAGTGAAAAATACCCAGATGAAGTTCCCCTTTATGAAATATTCTCCCAGGAAAATCTAGCAGATATTTTAAAATTATTAGCATCACAGGCAGAAGAAAACCTTGATATGGTAATGATTTTTAGTGTCAGCTGTGCAAGAAAGAGTAAATGAAATAGTAGACCAGAGAAAAACTAGAAGAGAAGAAACAAAACGAAAAAGAAGCAGAAGCAGCTGAAAAGCAACTGTTTCATGGCACTCTTGTTACAATTGGAAATTTTTTAAGTTGGAAAGCCAAGTTTGATACAGACCGAACTCTTGGAAATTAAAAAGAAATGAATGAAAGAAGAGGAGCAAGCAGGAAAAAAAATTAGTTAACTGGGAAATAGCTATTTGAAACAGTTCATAATCTTGATACATCTGATATACAGTTCTGGGAGGATGCTGGAAATAACGTGGAAGTTGATGAGTCTTTATTTCAAGAAGTGGATGATTTGGGGCTGGACGATGATGAGGATGACCCAGACTACAATCCTGCCGACCCAGAGAGTGACTTGACCAACTAGTGGACTGTCCCCATCTGTGGAGAGGCGTGACTGCCACAGCATCTGTGGCTGTGCTGAGAGGGTTTCATTTGCCTTCCTTTTTTTTCCTAAGAAAAGAGTTTTCAGGAGAATATTTTTCTGATAGCTTTCATCATTGAACTTAATAAACTGACCTTAAAATTTTTTAAAAAAGACCTTTCTGGTTCTTTGTGTATCTTAATGTTACCCATCTTTCAGAACCTAGTTTATATTTCTTTTCTTTGCTTTTCACAAGTTCATGATCATAAACTTCCTCTTTATCATTTGCTAGGCAATAACTGTTTGAAATTGTTACATATTTGATAGCTTTTTATTATTTATTTCTTTAAAATAAATAGAATTCAGTTCAATATCAGTTATACCTCAAATTAACATTAAATATTTTGTTTTGTAAAGCTCTGCAGTGCTCTTGATAGCAGCAATTAAGAAATCAGATGATGTATTTGTTGGCAAATCTGCAGAAGATTTCTTTGAAATGTTAAAAAACAGAATGTTACTTTTAGGACTAAGTGGGCCTTATGTAAGCCTGGTATTTTAAGTGCGCTCTGGTGGCCTCATGGCAAGATGCTTAGCTGCAATCCTGAAGGCATGCATTTAGAATCCATCAGTGTCTCTGCAGGAGAAGGATGGGCAATCTCCCATGTGTGATTAACTGCCTCTGAAAACCTGCCAGAGTCAGCTATCAGTCTGTCCCAGGTTGGTGGTACACAACAATAACAGCATATGCATATGAAAGCTGGGCAATTAATAAAGAAAATCTAAGGAAAATTGATGGTTTTAAATGATGGTGTTGGTGAAAATGGAATATATCGTGGACTGCCAGAAGAATGGACAAGTATGTCTTAGGACAAGTACAGCCAGAATTCTCCTTTGAAGCAAAGATGCCCAGACTTGTCTCATTTACCGTGAACATGTTACCTGGAGGTATCCGTCCCTGGAGGACATTATGCTTGAGGAAGTAGAGTGTGAAGTAAAGGAAGACCTTCAGTGAGGTGGATGACCACAGTGGTCACTGCTGTGGGCTCAGCATAACAATGTGGGGGGCTGGGAAGCAGGGTTTTCATCTCCTGTACATGAGGTTGCTGTGAGTCTGAAGTGACTTATTGGCTGGTACCTAATAAGAACAACAACAAAGAAATGTCTTAAGAATATTTTTTCTGAACTATAAACAAATTTATAGAATCTTGGAAGAAGATATGTTATGCTTCTATGTATATCTGATCAGGCCATGTTATGCTTGCTATTAATGGTTTATTGATTTAGCTTGAAAACAGTAACATTGTGCTGCTTAGGTTATTTGTTTTAAAAAGAGACTCAGGGCTGTTGAGTTCGAACCTACTCAGTAGTCGAGTTTCAAAGGCTGTAAATCGCACCGGAGGAGGTTGCCCATCTTTCTCAGCAGCCATGGATAGATTCAACCAACCAAAAAGGCTTAGCCTGAGGGTTAGCAATACAGCTCCCTACAGGCTACCACCACCTGGGCTCCCTTTCTTCCTTCAGATGGTTTAGTTTTTGTATCCACTAAAAGAATTCAGGAATGCTGGTTACATTAACTATAAGAGAAAATATATATAATCAGTAGAAATTTATATTACCATTTAACTACTAAGAAAGGAAACAAGACTATCGTTTTTCCTCTGTTAATTCTTTAATTTTAATATCTTTAATTATGGGAAGGAGCTCTGTTGGTAGTGTGTTGTGTGCTTCACAGCTAACTAAAACATCAGCAATTCAAATACGCTAGTTACTCCTCAGGAAGAAATTAGGCAGGCTCCCCTAATAAAGAGTTACTGCTTCAGAAATCTGATGGAAGGTCATAGTCAAAATCGGCTCAAGAAGCAGTTGGTTTGAGTTCATTATTTGAGACACTGATTAAAGTTTCTGTTTTTCAGATCTGCTTTCAAGTATCATCATGTATGCACCCTTAGTTCTTCAGAGTTGTTCTTCTAAAATCACAGAAACCTTTGACTATTTGTCTTTTCTGCCCCTTCAGACTGTGCAAGGACTGCTAAAGGCAGTGCAGGTAAGTCCATTAACTCCTAAATAGCCTGCTTTAAACTGAGTTTTAAATGTTACAGAAGTCTGATGCGTATCTTTATAAATAGATGTCTAAGAATTGCAATTCCTTTTAGCTCTGGAACATAAAACTTCATGGTGTAAAGGCAGGAGCACTGTGCTAGCCTATTTTCCTAGTTCACGAATCTTTATGTCAGTATACAGTCTCCCTGACTCATTGTCCAATAGTGAAATCACTGAAGATCTCTTAGAAAATTGAGATTCATAGGTTTACAAAGGGACCAACTAGTTTCAGTCTGTTGTTGTTGTTGTTGTTATGTGCCGTCGAGTCGCTTGCGACTCACAGCGACCCTATGTCTGTGGAAAGTTTCAGTCTAGTATTTGAAAATCTACTACTGTTCTAAAATTTAGGTGCAATAAATATTGAAACATATATATAAAGCAGAACTAAAATTCCAAGTGATAACCATATTGAGTAGAAACAAGCGAAGACTAGTAAACAGACTTGTTACGGTTTTATCTACTGATTCTTCTTTCAGCCCCTTCTCAAAATCAGCATGTCAATGAGAGACTCCCTGATACTTGTCCTTCGCAAAGCTATGTTTGCCAGGTATGTTGCATGCCTTGAAATCATGGGAACTGGTGCCGTTTGGTGCAGAGACCGAGGGGTAACTGACATCTCCAGCACAGACCGCTCATAGCAGTCACACAGATTTACCCAACACAACTTTCATCAAACAGGGCACTGTAGTCAGATCCTTTAACATCTGATTGTCACAACAATCCTATTGAGTGAAAACTTTTGTATTTACTATTTACAGATAAAAAATTTAGGCTTCCAAAGATCGCAGAGGCATAGGTAAGGGAGCTAGGGCTTGAATGTCAGTAACATCAGAGCTTAAGATCTCAAGTTTTCTGCTGTACCACTCGTAGAATAACTGTCAAAATAAGGTTCACATGCCAAAAACTTGGCATCGTGAGCTGGCAGTTTTTCTGAAGGGGGAAACACCTTAGTTAAGAAGAACATATTTAAGATACTCAGTTTAATGAAGATTGGCGTTCTAATCTAATGACCAGTAGGCTTAGTAAATCATTAAGGGATTTGGGTTCAGCTACCTCCTAACCTCTTCATTTTTTAAGATATAATAGGGACAAAGGGTAATAGTAATCATCTCCTAAAAATACTGAAACCTTGATCCTTCTAAGGATAAGATGCCTAGTTAGTATCATGTTGGGCATATTAGCATATATTCATGGAAATTCTAAGAAACAACTCTTAAGTGGTTGTTGTCAGTTGTCATCGTTGTTAGGTGCCGTCAAGTATGACTCGTAGTCTCTGTACAACCCTGTGAACAACAGATCTGTCCTATCCTGTGCCATCTCACAGTTTCTGACACGCTCAAGCCAGTTACTGCAGTCACTGTGTCAGTTCACCTCGTTGAAGGTCTTCCTCTCTTTGCTGTGCCTCCACCTTTCCAAATATGATGCCGATCTCCTCTGTTCTAGAATTGTCCATTTCCTTTTAGCCTCACTACTTGACTGTTGTTAGGTCCCATTGAGTCGAGTCCTACTTGATTTATACTTCTAGACGCTGTAGCATCTACACTGTGACTTCATCACTGAACCTCAACGAGAAGAAGAGTGTCATTTCCCAGGGAGGAGAGTCTGTGTAGCAGTAAGCACGGCATTCTGTGAAGAAAGAGAACACAGGAAGGGAAGCTCTCTTTTAAAACAGCAAAACTCAGCAGTTTTCTTGGCTATTCAATAATTATGTTATTAGCCCCTATACAGTCTCTGAACACCTTGATTCCTCACATACATAGACATATGAACAGTAGAGAGGAAATTACAGCTAGTGTCATGAGGTCAAGCAGATAATGAAAAGGGAGCCCTGGTGGTGCAGTGGTTATGGACTTACCAGGTTCAAACCCACCAGCCGCTCGACTAGAAAAGGCCGAAACAGCCAGCTTAATTCCTGGACCACTACACACCTAAACAGCTGGTACTTATTTTGAGTATGTAAATCCAGTAGGTTTGCTCTCTACGTTAATGCATACATATTCCTTTTTTGAGTAGAACTGAGATTTTCTGACCTGGAAACCTAATCCTGTGTAATCAGTACTGTTAATTTCTTTCCTGTCTGCTCCTGAGCTAGCCAGCTTGATGCCCGGAAATCTGCAGTTGCTGGGTTTTTACTGCTCCTGAAGAACTTTAAAGTCTTGGGCAGCCTGTCGTCCTCTCAGTGCAGTCAGTCCATTGGGGCCAGTCAGGTAAGGAGGGCTCCCTTGGCCTGTCTTCTATGCACCATCGCAGGAGTTGATGATATACAAGTTGTTTGCCTTTACTCCTCATTCTACATATATCCTGAAACTGAAGGTCCAGTGCTGATGATAGCAACGAGCATTTCTGATAGAAAATTTACTCTATGCTAGATGTGCCTAATGTGCTAATTGACTTGAACCCTTGAGCGAAATGTAACTAGTCCAAGTTGAATTGTAGCATATTTATAAAATGTACACTGGACTTTGAAAACTTAACGTGAATTTCTCATTAATTTTTTGTCTTGAATACATATTGAAGTTATAACATTTTAGATATGTTGGGTTAAATGAAATATATTCCTAAAATTAATTTAACCTACTCTTTAATGTATTAGAAAATTTAAAATTCCATGTCTGCCTTGTGTTTTTGATCTGTACTTTAGTTAATGTTGGACAGCAGTGTGCTAGACACCGTGCTAAGTGTTTTATATTGATTATTTAATCTATACAGTAATCAACCATTCCTATTTTAAGGATAAAGAAATAGACTGTTGTTGTTTTTGTTGTACCATCAAGTCAGAATCAACTCATAGATGTCCCTCCAGTGGGTTTTCAAAGGTGTTTAATTGCATGGGAGTTAAATAATTTGCCCAGGGTTATAAACCAGTAAGTGATACAATGACGATTGACCCCAAGCAATCTATGGCACAGTGGTTAAAGCACTCAGTTACTGATCAGAAAGTCAGTGGTCCAAACATACCAGCTGTTCTGTGAGAGAGATGTGTCTGCTTCCAGAAGATTTACGGCCTCGGAAATCCCGTGGGCAGTTCTGCCTCTGCCTGGAGGGGCACTGTGAGTTGAAGTTGACTCAGGAACCGTGGATTTGGGTTTTTTGGTTTCATTTTAACTACCTTACTTGACTGGAGTAAGGAATTGGTGATTTTATTATGTGAATTAAACAGTGGATATAATTTTTTTTTTATCATTTCCATTTTTGAACTAAAAATGAACCGATTACCTTATTTACACTTCTCACATTCTGCTGGAGCACCTTTCTTGGGAATGAGAACTAATGTGAAAGAAACTCTTCCAGTCAGCCAAGCAGTTGTCCTCCAAATTTCCTGGCATAGACTGGTGAGCATGTCTAGGGCTATGTCTATTAGTTGAAACATGTCTGTTGGTATCCCATTGATTCCCGGGAGATTTGTTTGTTTTGTTTTTGTTCCCCCTCTCCCCTTTTTTCCTTGCTGTGTGCCATCAAATTGTATCTGCCTGGCACAGAAGGAGATTGCTCCTCCTTCTCCAGAGAATCTGTGGATTCAAACCACATGCGTTCAGGGTTGCAGCGCAGCTTCTTGCAACTAGGCCACCGGAGCTCCTTGGGACCTTACTTTGCCAGTGCCTTGAGGCAGCATAAACTTCGTTCTTCATTACCTTGTTCATATGGTACTCCTAAAATTTTCCAGCGTCAGCCAATTCTTTCTGGTCTAGTGACTATGATCTTCTTTCCATCTTCTTTTGATGCTTCCTGAATCATTCACGATTTTGCCCATAGCATCTCTCATCTCTCAGCATTGCAACTTGAGGCTTCACTTTGTTTTTTTCAACTTTGTCTTGTCAAGCTGCCCTTTGAAATCTTCTCTGTTCATCCCTTTTACTTCAGCATTTTATTCCATTTGTTTTGGCTTTCCAACACTCTACTACAATTTTCAGATTATCTTCTGACATCCATTTTGGTCTTTTCTTTCTCCTCTGTCTTTGTTTTCATGGATGATATCTTTGATGTCATCTCACAACTCATCTAGTCTTCGATTGTTAGTGTTCAGTGCCTCAAACTTACTCTGGAGATGATTTTCCAGAATAGGAAATATTAACAAAATATTGCTAAAGATCATATAAAAATGACTAGAGCAGTACACTGATAGAGAACTGCCAGAATTTCAAACTGGATTAGAAGAGGCCATGGCACCAAAGTTACCATTGCTATGTCAGCTGGATCATAGCTTAAAGCAGAGAATAGAAAAATGTCTTTTGGGTTTTATTGACTATTTAAAGGTATTTGAGTATGTGAATCACAACAAACTGTGGATAACACAGAAGAGTGGCAAACCCAGAACACTTAATTATGCTCATATGAAACCTATATACCTAGACCAAGAAGCTGTTGTCTGAACAGAACAAGGGAACTCTGCAATGTTTAAAATCAGGAAAGGTGCCCATCAGGATTGTATCCTTTCTCCATGTCTATTCAGTTTGTTTGCTGAGCAAATAATTCAAGGAACTGGGCTCTGTTAAAAAGAATGTGGCATCAGGATTACAGGAAGCTTCATCAACAACCTGTATTATGCAGATGACAAAACTTTGCTGAAATGAGGAGAACTTGAAATGCTTGATGCAGAATTTCAAAGACTACAGCCTTGAATATGGATTGAATCTCAACATCAAGAATATGAATATCCTCACCACTGGACCAATAAGTGACATCCTACCAGATGAAGAAAAGATTAAAATTGTCAGTGGTTTCATCACTTGGATCCACAGTCAGTGCCCTTGATACCGGAAGTCAGGCAATTGGGAGATGTATTACATTGGGCAAGTCAGCAGTCAAGGACCTGTCCAGATTACTGAGGTTCAACGAAGTCAGTTTGAAGGCTAAGGTGCACTTGATTCAGGCCATGGTCCTTTCGTCACTTGACTGTGCATCTGAAAGGTGGACATTGAATAAGAATGACAGGAGAATTAATGCCTTTGAGCTGGTGTTGGAAAAGAGTACTGACTATCCCATGGAGGGCCAAAAGAACAAACAGATATGTCTTGGGAAAAGTGCAGCTAGAGTGTTCCTTGGAAGCAAGATTGACAAAGCTTGCTCTCACATATTTTGGGCATGTTTCTAGGAGAGGCTTTTCCTTGCAAAGGGACATCGTGTTTGGAAAGGTAGACAGTGAAAGAGAGGAAGACTCAACCAGGTGTACTGAAACAGTGCTGCCGTGGGCTCTAGTGTATCAGGAAGTGTGAGGATGGCACAGGGTAAGACGGCTCAAATCTGTTGTTTGTAGGGTGTCTGAGTTATTCAACTTGGTGGCACCTAACAACAACAACAAACCTCTGAGAAATTTGTGAAAGCGTATGCTTTTTACAGAGCCAGATTCTTCTAGCTACTGATAACTCTTAAAATCTTTTAACTCAATTCAGCGTACTATGGCTACTGGATCCAAGTGGCATGAAATGATCAGTGTGCCTTCTGAGGCAGCTGACTTTGGGGAAGAATTTTGTTAATTCAACAGCTCAACTTCACTTGATTTCTGTTGAGTTAGAACTGACTCATAGCTGACCCTCCAATGATTTTCTGACCCTGTAAATCTCATAGTAGGAAGTTACCCATCTTTCTCCAAAGGAACTGATTGTGGATTTGAACCACTGAAGAGGTTTAGTTTTGGGGTTAGCAGCACAATGCTTTGTGGACTTTTTGTCATCAGAGCTCCTTAATTTTGTTAATGTATCAGCAGATTCTTGAATTGCAAAGCAAAGTAATAGTGACATCACAACATGGTATGATTATAATGTCTGCCTCAATCCTGAATTTTGGCAAATGGGAAAAATGCTCTTTGTTTCTTTGCTCAAGAACACAAGTTTATGTTATTTCTTTAGTGGAAACGACTTTGATAAAGTAGACATTAACCAGCCTGTTTTTATTTCAGGTCCAGGTGGATGTTCATAGCCGTTACAATGCTGTTGCCAATGAAACATTCTGCCTTGAGATCATGGATAGTTTGAGGAGGTGCTTAGGGCAGCAGGCTGATGTTCGAATCATGCTTTATGAGGTAAGTCAGCAAGTGAGAGTAAAAGGAGTATAATAATCCCAAACCAATAACCTTTTATTAAGTTTTGGTGCGTTTTTTTTTCCAGTTTATAAAATATAGTAGAAATGACAACAATCTGGAACAAGAGGTGCACTGGAAAGTGGAATAGGAGAGGAGGAAGGAAGCGGGGGAGCCTTTTTTAGAATCACAATTTAAAAAAAAAAAATTGGTAAAAGTTCTTATTTGATACTGTTAAGACCAAGAGATAGCACAGAGTTTGTGAGACTAGTTATCACTGTCCTTGCCTCTAAGGAACCCCCTGGCTGCACTTCCTCCAAGAAGAATTTGTTCTTTTAGCAGTCCATGATACAGTTAGTACTGTTCTCAGCAATTCAAAGGCATCAGTTCTTCTGTCATCCTTACTCATTGTCCAGCTTTCAGATGCATAGAAAACAGCTGAAGTAACCATAGCTTGAATTAGGCACAAAGATATCTTCAGTAGACATCTTTTGCTCTTTTGCACTTTGGAGAGGTACGTGATGCCAGTTTGCCTGTGTAGCATTTCGTGACTGCTGCTCTCATGGGTGTTGATTGTAGATCCAAGTAAAACGAAATTGTTGACAACTTCAGTTTTTCGCCATCTCTCATAATATTGCCTTTTGCTTCGGTTGTGAGGATTTTTTTTTTTTTTAAATTTTTTTTTGGTTGTGAGGATTTTTGTTTTCTGGATGTTAACCTGTAACCCATATTAAAGGTTGTAGTCTTTGACCATTGTTAGTAAATTCTTCAGATCTTCACTTTCTGAAAACAAAATTCTGTAATCTGCATAACCCAAGTTCTTGATGAATCTTCTTTAAATTCTGATGCCACTCAGCATACAGTTTGACTACGTATGGAGAAAGGGTACACCAACACATACCTTTCCTGACGTTTTTTTGTTGTTGTTATTTTTTTAAAAAATTTTATTTTATTTCATTATTTTTTTGTGTGTACCG